TTTCACAATCTTACATTCTGACAAAGACCTCAGGTACACAACACAAATGCGTGGCTTTCGAAAATATAAGTCAAAGCTATTTGTTTTCACTGTAGCAACAAAATGAGAAAAGAGTTCTCATTTCAATAAATAACGAGAACTCTGTTGAACAAAGAGGTAATGTGATGTAAAACAAAACAAAAAAATAAATAACACTTTCAAAGCTACATGTTAATCACCTTCTTTCACCACCTGAGTACATCTTTAGGTTCCTGTGCTGTATCCTGATCCTGGTCTGTGCTTGGACAGTGGAATGTCATTAAGGTTACATTGGGGCAGTAAGCAGGGACGGTGGTGCTAAGGAGGTGTAGGTGGGGTGGTAGCACAGCTTGACTTCAGGGAAAGTGAAAAGGAGTGAGGTAGGAAGGAGAGTGACTTTTCAGGAAGTGTTCTGGGGAAGATCTGTAGGAAGTGGTGATGTATTCCTCAGTCTGTCTGCCCTGAACTGTCCCCCATTTCACCTGCTTCAGGTACAAAGAGAGCATCAGCTAACACTCAGCTGTGCAAAGCCAATCAGCTTTACCTCGTCCGGGATCTCTGTGTCATCACAGCTAGAAGCCTGTGTGAGGGGGGAAGACAGCAAGAGGTCAGTGAGGCTTGTCCGCACCCTGTCATCTCCATCACCAAAATTAATCCTGCAAAATCTCTAAAGCAGCTGTGGTATAACACCCTGAATGAACCTGGCAACTGAAAATCCTTCTAAATAGTCCATCCGTTATCTGGAGCCAATCTCAACTGACATTGGGTGAGAGGTGGGGTCCATGCATACTGTATGTCCAAAAGTATGTGGACACATACCATGTCCATATTCTTTTACCTACCTTGCTGATATTTACAGTGTGGGGAAACTCTTTCCTAACATGACAGTGTCCCTGTGCACAAACCGAGGTCCATGAAGTTACTGTATGGCTGCAGGAAGAAATAGAAGTGATTGCAGAAGGACTTGCTCAGAGCCCTGTCATTAACCTCACGGAAACCCTTTGAGATCAATTTGAACACTGAATGCAAGCCAGGCCTTATCGAGCAACATCAGTGGCCGGCCTCACTAATGCTCCTGTCGCTGAATGGGAACGAATGCAGTCAGGCTTTAGAAATCTGATGACAAGCTTTTCCTGAAAAGTTGAGGTTGTTATAGCAGCAGATTAATGCCCACGGTTTTGAAATGAGATGTTCAACAGTAACAGTGGTGTAATATTCAGGCATCCACATACCTTGTTTGGGTGTCTACATACTTTTGGCCATGTTAGTGTTTCATTCCTAAGCTGAACAATGCCCAGTGATATTTATTTAGCACAACATTTATTTTAGCGAATGTTCAACTGTCCAGCACCTCATTTCACCCTGGTTTTTAGGCTCCTCGGATGCTATTCACCAAGGTGTGTGCACTGATATTTGTCAGTGAAAATGAGGGAGTATTTCATTTCGATCTTAAGACAGCAGTACATGGGTGACCTAACCTGTCGGCCTGCAGCAATTCACAAATTGAAGCAAGATACTCCATCTGCCTGGGGGTCTGCAGCTGTCTGATCAGCATGGTAGGACTGTTAAAATGGGTCGCTTTTAGTGAGCTCACAGTGTCTACGGTGACCTCTTGTTCAGTTAAGTCGTAAAGCTACTCTAACGCCACCCACACTATAAATTGTCTGAATAAAACGTTATAAATTGTTCCCCTAGCAAGGGTAATTATTCTCACTCCCTGGTTCTGTGACACTGAACTCGTAATTCTTCACTTTGGAAAGGAAGACTGAGCCACAGTGAGGATTTTACACTGCTTGCAGTGGAGCAGAGTTAACGTATGGAGGTGCGAGCATGCCCATATATCGAACATGGTGTGCCAAGCTAAGCCTTCACTCTGACTGATTTGTCCAGGTACAACACTCAGTAGGTGCTGAAATGGCAAATGAGAGGTGATTCTGAAAAGCGCCATGACCCAAAGCACAGAGGCTGTTTACACACAACTACAGAAAAGGTCAATAAAACATAATTTACGTGTTTTTGTCAGCTCCAGAAGGGATGACATTATTGGTTTCATTATTATTTTTTTCCAAATGTCACAGTTTCTCTAATAATCACAATCAGGTGATACATATACAACATGCTCTCATTTGCCGTAAATAACAAAGGTAGGCTGGATCACAACAAAAGTTATGAAACCTTCATTTATGCTGTAGATGAGACACTATAAGAATCCTGACACTGCTCACACACCACTGGAAAAAAACTAGATACTGGATCAGTACTGGCAGCTACTCAATATTAAAATGGCAAAAATGCGATGGGACAACCCCCTTTTCATGAATAAGGAGCTACTTTATGACTGGACAGTATATAAAAATTATATACATTGGTATTTCAACATGCAATATTTATTTTAAATCCAGAGTGGATCATATTTAATTTTAGAAATGTATCTAGATATTCCAGTACCAGATAGTATCTGGTGTGGAGTTTGCATGTTCTCCCTGTGCCTGCGTGGGTTCTCCCCGGGTACTCCGGGTTCCTCCCGGAGTTGGTGACTCTAAATTGCCTGTGAGTGTGAGCCTGTGTGGTTGTTTGTCTACATGTCAGCCCTGTGATAGGCTGACGACCTGTCCAGGGTGTGCCCCACCTCTTGCCCAATGTCAGCTGGGATTGGATGGTTGGATTATTTTCTTATACACGTATAAAGTTATCATTTATTATTATTATTATTAAGTACTCTTAGGAAGTGCTCAGAATAAAGGGAGGTTTCAAAATCTTCTGTACATTTCAAGAACAAATCCCATCTACTGATGAAAACTGAGTGATACGTTCAAAAGAAAAATTAAACCTTGGGTTGATTTAATTTTCTCAACTATGCTCATAGACACAGTACATGCTCAATGTAACAGACATTGGTTAATGCAGAAGCTCTTTGGTTTGTTTGTGGCCTTTCTAATAACTTTAGCTCTCACAGTCCTCACTGAACCTCTCATCTATAAGTTGTTTATGGCTTAGCACTGTCGGGCTTGACAAACCCGGGAGGCTGTTGTCAACCATCAGTCATGTAGAAACTCACCAGCTTAAAGGTCAGTACTTTGTAGGTAGTTGGGTCATCTACAATCTTCTGTAGGTTGGCAGCAACTGTAAAAGTGAGGGGAGCAAGACAACATAATGTTAAAATAAACACAGGCAACAGTAAATTTCAGGACATGTCGGCACTAGAAGAAGAATCAGTTCCTGTGCCAGTTCATATTTTAGATGATAGGTTAGTGAATACTTTTAAAAATCAGATGCAATATACTATAATACATACAAGCAATTTCTATCAGTTGTACTCATTTCAGGTTCTGTGGATTTGCCCAATAAAATAAATGTCCTTCTCTGATAACTGTGCATCCTGTAACATCCTAATGTTCTTAAAGTAAGGATTTGTGGCAAATGAACTTAATGTATTCAGACAACACAATTAACAAGAATAAAGAAGTGTGACATTACCAATAACAACATCAAGCCCGTTGACTAGACCGGCTGAAAACAGCTCCTGGGAAACGCCATCAGCTGTGTCTTATGAGGGAATGACATGACAAATATTTGATCTGCAGCATTCCACTTACCATGTAATTATGAGAGATATTGAATTAAATACTATCACAAGCACTCCCATTTACAAACGCTGCCGCTGACCGCAACACACACACACACAACAATTCACACAGCACATTAAAATCTAGACTGAGCTCTTACCTCGCCCAGGAGTGAATTCAAACCGGATGTCATTCAGCTCCTTTCTAGAGTTCCTGAAAGGAGAAATAAGAAGGCGTGATTGCACAAGTAGTATCCGAAATGTCAGATTTAAATGTGTTGCAGCTCCCTTTTGAATAGAGCAGTGGTATGACTGAACTGCAGATGACTAGGAGCAGGAGAACAGAGCTGTGTGCAGTCAAGAAAACGCCTTCTGTGAACTAGAAGAAGAGACGATAAAGTGGACATGTTAGCGCTGCAACACCACTGATTCCACTGGAATGTTGGATTCACTGGTTTTTGTTTTTAGCCACTTGGGGGAAGCACAAT